AAATTTCCATGCAAGGAAAGAATAAATTTCGACTGCTTAAACAATATAGAACAACTAATTTAAACGAATAATTAAAAGTTATGAATATTTTACGTGACTTGTTTTCTAGTTAGTAGAATTAAATTGTAGATGTTTTTAATATTCACTTATTAAGAGATAACCATGCTGCAGAGAGAGTTTTGTAACATAATCACAGTCAAATTTGATAGTAATGACTAGATGTAACTTATAGCTATAATCATCTCTTATACATGAGCAAACATTAGTCGAGAAGTTTGAGTGATAAAGACAATGGAGTCACTCGAGTTTCTATGGTAGTTGGCCGTACGGGTGGCTGAAATAACATTTAAACAATCAAATACGTGTGAATTGTATAAATAAAAAATTAAATGTGGCTGTAGAAGAGAAATAAAAAAATAGACAATATTTACCTTATGGCGGTCACGAATATTAAATGCACCGTAAACAATAGGATTCATGCAAGAATTTGTACATGCGAACAAAAAGAGACCTTTCTGTATTCGTTGATCAACATTTTTCGCTGAATCTTTATCAATCCAGTACCTATACATCGAGGTTTATTAAGAATATTATTATGTTACATGTGTATGAAGTGCTATAGTTATGCTCCGCGGTGTATATCCCTTTAATAAATAACAATACTTACCAAAGACTCATAACATAATATGGTGTCCAACAAATAAAGAATACAGCGACAATAATCACCGTCATTTTTAGAGTTCGTATCTTTGCTCGAGTAAGAAAACCCACAGACGAGCGACGAATCTTATCTACAAACAATGTTTCATCTTTCAATTCCTCGTCGTTACTGTTGTTATATAAATGATTTAAAAATATTAACAAAAATTGTTCATTGCACCGACTATATTATTTTTTCTTTTTTTGCTAACTACAAAAAAACAACATAACATTTGTTTGAATTTTAAATTTCTAAATTTAAAACTTAAACGTACCAACTTCGCTCTTTTTCGATCTCTTGCATATTTCCAGCAGAATGCTTATGTAGGCATATATTATCACAAGAAGTGGAAACCAATACATCATGAGCATTCCAAAGAGAGTATAAGATACTAGATGAGTGTGTGTAGGAAAAACATTAAAAGTTACACACTGCAAGTACCGCGCATAAACTGGATGCGCTTCCACATGGAATATTATTATCTGAAAAAATTATCAGTATTACTTGTAAATAAAAAAAAAAAAAATGCATTTTTCGAATAGCGAACTGAAGCAAGAAATTTTCTTCATTATTTGTCATTCAAATGTCAATTTTTAAGCTCTAATTTTTTAAAACAAAAGCGACGGGTAATCTAACTTTCCATTTCAAATGATACCTGAGGCACTGAACATACGACAGATCCTATCCAAGCAAAGCTCAGCATAATTTTACCTCTTCTATCAACATCCCATAGTTGAAGAGGTCTTATTACTGCGTAGTATCTGAAATAGAACAATTAATCTTGCTCGAAAAAAAACATGGATTTATCGATATTTATTTTCTATTATATTATACGTATAAAGAGGAGCAAGAAATAGAAGAAAATTAGAACATCGATGGAACAACAGCGTGAGAAGCTTTAAATCTTATACACCTATGTTGCATTTAGTGATTATTTAATTTTGATCAGAAATAGCTGTTAAATGTTTAACTCTTGTGATGCCAGCAGTTAATCCATCATTCTAGCTGTAAAATTACGTAGGAGCCGAGGAAAAATTAGAGCCAACAAGCGAGGAATCTAATTATCCATAACCTAAACGCGAATTATTCATTTTCTCGTTGTTATTACTTCTGTTTGTAAGCATGAAGGCCCACACAATTATTTTAAAATTTTTCATATAAATTTTCATCGAATTTCTATCGTGAGTGGTAAAATCGAGAAGAAAATCATTCTAGGAAACGCTTGAATATCAAATTGAAAGTGTGGAATGAACTTTATTCTAAGGAGAACCAACTTTAAATAGAAGATATTTAAATAGAATACAGGTAG